CTCAGCCTCTCCTACAACTATCTCATCGCATAAGAACCCCCCAAAACCGTATTTTTCCCATACCGGGCACGTTTGTTACTGCCGTTTCCTCATAAAGTCAGTATTTTATTTTTCTTTATCTGCCGTTTTCTCAAAACACGACTTTTCTCTATACTTTTTGAATAACTCCACCATTTTTCATCTGATCTTCATGAAATTTTCACAGAATGAAGAGAAGATGTAATACTATCGCGCAAGTGCTTGAATGACCTGTCTATCCTTATTTTCGTCATGGTGTCATTCAAATAAACATCTCATTGCATACCAAAGCACTTTCTCACAGGGCCAATGCCAGCTACTTAACAATTGATTATTAGAAACCAAATAAAACCAAAGCTGGACTGATCACCAGTATATAGCCCTGATATGAATCCTGATCCTACAGATATGTCTGTTATGTGAAGTTCCATGAAACAGCAACTGAAGAAAACGACTTTGCTCCCAATTCAAACGCTTTGTTTGCAACTCTCTGTGACATTTGGGATGAAATGACAGATAAAAATGTCCAAAATTTAATAGAGCTGATGCCTAAAGGGTTCGTGCACTACACGAAACCAATGGCTCCTAAGCTAAATAACAATGAGTACATTTAATATTGAGTCCAAGTTTTGCATGGTATTTGTCATCGCTCTGTTTTCCGTTTTGGTTGAAACTATCGTAACAAATATTGTAATAAAATATTGTTTATTGCAGAGCCAAATTTTCCATTCATTAGATACTGGCTGGGCCCTCCTTTCAATGAAAGGAATGATCGGTGCATCGGTGTATCAACATCAATTGAAAGTCATTGGCCTTCTATATTTACAATCTACAGGAAAGGAGCAATACATTTTGAGAGAAAAGTGACACACGTGTTTCCAAGTTGCCCAATATATAATATATGTATAAATTGATTCTCTACGCCGCTTTCGTGGTTGTACACTCCAAAGTTCCAAAGGTATGCATCAGTGCGCACGGCTAGTAAGCGGAAACCTCACGTGTTTACAAAGGCGTCCTAGAAGACGGACTTTCCCAAGATCAGAACTCTGTGTTGACGAAACAAAGCATGTTGGAAAAATCGGGGAAAGCAGTTTGCGTTGATTTTTAAAAGTTAGGTCCTAGCCACATGGATGCTGTGGACGCCTGCAAAGTATCAAATGTGTGGGTTAGGTAATAAGTGAGGAGTTTGTGCACAAAGCCTCCAAAGTCCACTTAATATATAGATCTAGATGCAATGTATGTCAATTCTAATTATGCTCCTCAATACACGCGCGAAGACAATTTTACGTATCTTTGATTGCGCACAATGTTGCCAGGCCTGATTTTTTAAAGGTCAATTTTGAGTGACTATATCTCGGGTGTCTCTAAACATACATGAATTATTAATGGTCCACACGATGCATAATTTATTAAAGCTTTCTTTCAATTGACATGCTGCAGGGGTGGGTAATGCAAGGCTTTAACTTTAACACGATGATTGAGTGATTACATTTTCCAGTTTCTTTTGAACGCCACTGCAGGCCTATATATTATGCTTCCTTCTACATGTATATTGTTAAAACACAAAATGTGTTTCTGCATCGTCAGATTAATATATATATATATATATATACAGTCGAACCTGATCTGGCGGCCACCTCTATAAAACGATCACCTGTACAAACGGCCACTTTCCATCCCCCCCCTTGCGTTTTTTCTATATAATTTAACTGTGTAAAACGGGCACCTGTCCAACGCGGCCGCGGCCACCTTATTTCAACACACAACCCCTATCACACTAAGCAATATCACCTGTCCAAGACGGCCACCTTAGTGACTCCATTTCGTTTAGTCATAAATTGTGCTTTGGCCCCTGACGTTGTGGGCAAGCCGTCATAATCCAATCCCCTGTCGTTGTTGTTAGGTAGTCCCTCCAACCGATCATGTTGCGTAGGCCCCTCCTACTGTTGACCAATAGCTACCAATTTTCAGCTGCTGGTGAGGTAAGCGTGTGATCCCTCATAACCCATAAGCCCCGCCCAGAACTTAAACACAAATTGTAAGCGAGATGAGTGGTCACTGTTTACCCAGTCTGTAACAAAGTAACAAAGGACGTCAACATGAACTTGTGACAGAAACGTCGCTCGTTCTCCGAGTGGTGGCGACCCAGGAGTTTGTTTTTACTTCACACTCGGTCTTCCTTGTCTGATACATTTCGGTTTTTTGTCACCCTTTTGCGAAATCAGCAACAAAATAAAAATTACAAACAAAATACAAACCACCACCACTAACAACAACAAAAACAACAATGCGGCTACTTTCGATTGGGACCTCTGATAGGAATAATTTGTTTTCTTCTTTTTGATCAGTCCTGCCTAAGACGGCCACCTGTCTTACACGGCCATTTTTCTCCTTGACAATGGGTGACCATCTTACACAGGTTTGATTGATGTATATATATATATATATATAATTGCAAAAATAAACATTTTTCTATTTCCCATGACTTTTAAACGTAGATCTTATATAATTACTAACACTAACATAATAGTTCTTTAGGCGAGACAGGATCTTTTCAGATAAGCCAACCAGGGTGTTGGGCTTTCTTAGGAATCTGAAAATATATTGTGTGTCTACCTCAACCCTCACCCGTCAAGAACAGGTTGTAATGTTCAGACTCCGTAATGCCACCTCAACACGAAACTTAGGATCGGCAACTCAGAGTAGTATCGGTGAGGAACCGACAATCAAACAAGAAATGAATCATTCACTGCAAGCCTGCCCAATGACCAATGCACTTAAAAGAAAATATTGGCCCAAACCTAGGTAGGGAGACCTACAATTATTCAGGAGCATGGAGGACCTGCAGCGAACAGCAGTCTTCACACTTAAGACATGGGTGTCCATTTATAGAAGAACGTGAAGAAGAAGTGATTTAGTCTGGATTATAGAGTGTCATTCGATTTGATCTGTATTTTACTCCGCAGCCTGCTTATCCACACCATGCTGCAATACTTAAGAGAAATTAATGCTATCAAGAGACACCCTTGCATTCATCGTCTGGTGTCTTCCCGACTGGCGTGGGCGATCATGGATCTCCACCACTCTGTCTTACGTTGCATCGATTGTGTCTGTCGTTCTCGCTGTTCCCAGTCATGTTATCAACTTGTCCAGTATCTTTTCCCTCTGCCTGCCTCTGCCTCTTTCCTTCAAACTTGCCTGTTGTTACAATATTCTCCAATGCTTTTTTCCGCATTGTTTGTCCAATGAACTTTACCTGTCGCTTTCGTATATATTCCTCAAAAGCTGTCGTCTGCAATTTGCTCCACCAAGACTTCTTCATTTGTTTTTCTAGCTGTCCTTGTGATACGTAGCATGCGTCTTATGATCCACAACTCTATCGCCTCAATTGTTCTTTCCAGCTCTCTGTTGATTGTCCATGCTTCGCACCCGTATAATAGGACTGGCTCGATGTAACTTTTGAGTACTCTTTTTCTTGTTTCCAGAGACAGATTGATGTTTGTAAGTATCTGTTTTAAACTGTGGAAGGTCCCTTACCTTCATACATGCTCAAAAAGACAAATCCAGTAATGCTTTAGTGGCCACCTGTCCAAGACATTCACCTGTCCAAACGACGTCTTTCTA